AACTTAGTCAACAAAAAAAAGGAATTTATTAAATTCTTACATATTACAAATAATTTTGATATACCTCTGATACATACGCATACATATGTACGTACAGTTCCATACACATACATACACACACACACACACACACACACACACACACACACATGCATACATACATACAAATATATATATACAATATTCATAAATGAATTAATTAGAAGCTTAAAAAGTGGAAAAAAGGAATGACGAAAAAAAAAAGGACTGTTAGGATGAAGAAACCTGTTTTACAATTCTGGCTTCTTTTTTTCATTCCTTTTTTTTTTGATTCTTTTTCTTCGAAAAATTTGCAAATCTTTTTTCTCGTTAAAAAGTATCATTGAGAATATTTTATGCTTCCAATTTTAGGAATAATTAAAAGTTAAATGCATTTCTTTGTTCATTTTACATAGTAATGTTTTGTTTTCGTCTTCGTTTTTTGTTTTTTTTTTTTTGATTACTTTTGAAAATTTTACATATCATCTGTTGAAAATGTAATAATTGTAAACTTCATGTAAAATTATTGTAAATTTTATGAAATAATTTAAAAAATTAAGTAGGAGATAAATGAAAGAAAGAAAAACTTGAGAAATAATCTGAAGAATTAATTACTAAATTAAAATATGAATTCTAAATTGTTGAATAGAATGAATGCTACTGTTCTCATCTACTGTTCTTAGTTATTTTGGATACATAACGTACGCCATAGTACAATGCATTGAAATGAATGCAAAATGAAATTTACTTTTCAATTTGATATTATAAGTTAAGTAATCTTGTTAGATCAAAGTTCAACAGATTTGTTTAGTTGAGAAATTTCGTGTAAACTGAAAAATGATAATTATGCAGTGCTACGATATTATTATGTAGATTTTTATTTACATCACTACTGATGGTACCATATGAAATATTGTTGGGAATAATTCCAAAATTTCAGCATAAATAATCTTTTGCAAATCTTCTGGTAGAACGAAATTCACATTGAAATGTGTTGTAGCTGTAGGAGGACCACCACCAGCTGTTGAGCTACCTGAGCATGCTTCCATCATAAATCCTTTCACACATTTGAAAATTAATTCGGCTCGCTTCATACACCAATTTGGCGTCATGTGCTATAATTTTTATTTATTTTTTAAATCACTAGAATTCAATGGAAGTTAAATTTGAAAAAAAAATGCAAAACGTTATTCATCATAGATATTCAACAGATAAATTTGTTTGTTTCGTTTTGTCAACCTGTAAATATTATGCACAATTATTTCATTCTAAAAAAGAAAAATTAACTAAAAAAATCATGTCCATTTTCTGATTTAGAAAAAGTGAAACTTGTTGAAATTCTTTTTTTTCGAAAAATTTATGAATCATACCTCTTTTGCTTTCCCAACAAGCAATAGGGGTATAGTGAATGTTGTTACACCACATTTAGCCGATAACCGGATAGCATTTCGTAAACCATTGATACATGGATGCCTTAAAAAAAAAAAAGAAAGAAAAAAACCAGTATATTTTGAACTCCTGGCTTAGTTAATCTTTGAAAATACTGGTTTAGAATACCAAATACTTATTATCTTTTGCATAAACAACAAAATGCAAGGCGACAAAAGGTTAATCAATCAAAAAATGACAGCTTCATTATTATATTAAGAAGCAATATAAACAAAAGAACTAAAAGAAATAGATCAAAATATTCTGTAAAATTCCAAATTATTGAAATCTTTTTCATTAAATAGATGCATGATTCATGAGCTTCCGAAAAAAAGTTCCAAAAATACAAAATGTTTCATTTTAACCTACCTACTAGAAATTTCATCGTCCTCCAACGATTTATCCACAACCAAATGATAGATAACCTGAAGTCTTTTATATATTCTGTGATTTCTTCAAATGTCATAAGCTCGTCGCCTTGATTTTTGCAAAAATGACACGTAATTTATTGAGCTAATTTTTTTTCTCTAAAATTCCACCTAATTCAAGTCTTATCATTCTGTATGTCTATAATTCAGGTTATGTGTCGAATATTAATTACAAATGTAACAATCTTACGTTATGTAATTATTAGCCACCTAAGTGATAAAATCATGAGATTTGATATGTATGCAATAAATTAGTATTATAATAAGCTTTTTTAGTTATTGTTCAAAAAATACATAGAGCAAATAAGCATTTTGAATTAAAAGGAATTGATTTGATCTTTTATTTTGATCTGCAATATTTAAAAGATGTTAATTTGCAAAATAAAATATCAATGACAGGAAAGTTGATCAAAGTGACCAAAACAAACAAAACTTACGTAATATGAATGAAAATTAATACAAGCCAATCTTCTCTATCCTATAATAATAAACCGCCCACTATTTTTATGTTAAATAAAGAATAATCATTCTTGCTCAAGAAATAATTATTAGAAAAAGTCTGGAAGTAACGAGTCATTATCACTATCATCGAAAAATGAATGATTGATAATACAAACCTGAACTGAAGAAAGATTGGAATGTCGAGTAACATATAAACTACCAACTGGAAGTAATGACTCATCATTATCATCACCATTATCATTCGTCTCACGATGAATATCTTCTTTTGCTTTCGGTATCTGGAAAGAAAAAAATTAAAGTGAAAGTATTACAGCTACAATATCATCGTTTCAACTACAGCTAAAATATCAGTGGGTTCCACCTTATACTTCAAGTTAATGAAAAATATACGGTAATTTCGGAGGATGCAGGATGCAACCTTGGGAGGCATATAAATTAGACATTTCTATTTTACATATTTCATTTTTTCTTTTCTCTTGAAATCTATTAATATATCGCAGTATTTAATTCTGCATTTTATAAATGTTTTATTTACTGTACAGTAACCAACATTAAAAAAATCCGGAGATGCAACAACAACTTCTTCACAACCAAAAACTACCAATAGACTACGTCAATTGACAACTTGAAAACTTAATGCTAAGATTTAAGGTGATAATATTTTGCTGATGATTACTTTTTGAATTAAAAGGAATTGATTTGACTTTTTTTTGATCTACAACAATAAAAAGATATTATTTGCGAAATAAAATATCATATACGATAATGTATTAAAACTGAAATGAAGCATAACACTTCAAGATATGAAACATATACTTTTGCAACAAATAATATTTGGTAACATTGAAAGATTATTATTTATAAAATACTATATATTATCTGATTAGTATTAAATATTAAAAATATGTTTCAAAAAAACAAACCAGTGGTATTACTTGTTTTAATTGATCTTCAAGTGATTCAAAATGAAGTTCGGTGGAATGTTCGCACAACCTGGAGAAATCTAAAAATGTTTCATTATTATTGTTAAGCTATCAACCAATTTTACATATTCCTTAGACCAAAAAAAAAAACTTACTTGGAAAATTTAGACTGAAAAGACTGTAATGATACACTAATTTTTTTATATAAATGAATTGAAGGGAATTTAAAATTAGATGAAATTTTGATAAATATGAAAATGTAACCTGTTCGCTCATTAATGTGAAACATAGGATCTCTTCCTACAAGAAGTACCAGACTAATTAAACTTCTGCTATATAAAGTGAGATTCATTTGCAAACGTCGTGTAGCACATACATCATCCTCAAAAAAGACAGGAGGACGACACAGATCTGTCAAACTTGGGGAAGTTAATAATCGAGCATTGTGCATTGTTTTTAACTGGGCGCCTAAAAATTATTCGAAATTCAATTATAGGTATTTAGTTTGAATATATTCAAAGGAATGTATAATACCACTTCTGTATGACAAAAAATGATAAAATTCGAGACAGTAATTTACCCAAGTAATAGCTTTCGATTAATGGGAGTGTTTGAACTAAAAGCACAAGACATTCTGATAAAATGTTATCATTGAAAGAATGAATTGAACTAAAAGCACAACACATTCTGATAAAATTTATCATTGAAAGAATGAAATCAGTGATGTTAGTATGTTCAAATATGAGAAGTATGAAGAAATAAATTAATTAACAAAAATAAGATGAATCATGGCTTACAAAAAAAAAAAGAATTTTAACGGAAAGAATTCTATGGAATAAAAAAGGAATTACCTAAATATATTGTGAAACTTTCATCCAAAGAGAGGTTAGACTGTGTTTTGGTTGTATCGAAGCTTGAAACTGTTGACAAAGATCTTAAATAGGTTAAATTTTAGCAAAATAAAGTTAAATTAAAGCATACCTTGCTTAAATTTGTACCATATTATGAGCCATTGATAGATATGCCCAATTCTTTCCTTTATTATTCATCCAATTAGTCGCATAAGAAGTAAAATAAAATTGCAATTCCTTGAAAATGTTCAATTAATAATATACAATGTAAGGTCGAGACTCGATTAAAATACACTATGTGTAAAAAAACTAAAACAAATCAAAGTAATTTTCCAGGGTAAAATACAAATACTTTTTATTCAAATTCTTTATTTCATTAATTCATTATCATTACTGCCATTCTCCAATACGAATACTTTTTATTCAAATTCTTTATTTCATTAATTCATTATCATTACTACCATCCTCTGTTAATTACTTAAATTTGACAATGTTTCATTGTTTTTCTCAATAATGGCACTTCGACTGGGTATTTGTCATTGTAAGTAAGGGACAAAAAAACTCGTTAGTGTTTCCGGGCAATATAACTCAGTCGCTGCATCTTGAACAACAGTATTTATCGAAGCAGTAGTCGATATTACTAGGAAATATCTTCAGAAAGATTAATTTTAAATCGACAAAAATAAAAAACATATTAAAAGAAATACCTTTTGACTGGAGTTGTATCATCAGATAGGGTGATTTCTGCTTCAGCTGGGAATTCATCATGTTCGTACAAACTTTTGATCATATTTCGATAGAATTTACGTTGTCGTGATGTTAAGATATGAATTTGCTGAGCATAATTATTGCTAATTTCCTGTAATTATATCTTTTAATTAAATTTCAAATATTTAAGAGCGAAATATGATAGGTAAATGAGGAAAATAGTATTCGCACTTTTTTCACTAACTTCAGTCATCATTTGCTAATCAAGTAACTAAAAGATGCCACAGAATTTCAAATCGAATTACAATGAGATGCTAGAAAAAAGTTTAACGAGCAAAGTTCGCTCAGCATTACAACCACAACTTACTGTTGAAGGATTAATAGTGAATTACTACGATATCATTGATAGCACTCAGTGAAAAACTCGGAAAACTAGTAGGAGAATGCAGTAAATGGCATCTACTGTAAAATGTTAGTTGTTATACAAAAATCTAACTCGAATCTGTTCATTTAAGCAGCTTAAATGCTGTCCACTTTCGGGTATTACTCGATCATCCTTTGTGATACTAGCATTCACTGCTTGCTCACATTTACGATACATTCGATCAAGTTCAAAATCACGAGCACGTATCAACGACAACATCTTAAAAATGGAACTGAAGAAATAAGACTGAAATCTACAAAGTCAAAATATGTAAATTAAATAACTTAATGGAATTTCACTAGTAAGTAAGAAAGTAAAAAAATAAATAAAATAAACCGGGAAACGGAAAAAAATGGAAAAAAACATTTCGTTGAGTTATTTGAGTTTCTCATATTGTTTTCAAATCTAACAGATTAAAATATACATACTTCATCTTCCATTTTTCTTTCCCATGCAATGATTATTTTCAATCGTTCGGGTGATGAATTTCGCATAATAAACTGGAATTGATCTGCGAACTGTAGAGCTTCAGAAGGTTTCGTATTTGTTAACTGAAAACAACGCATTAACATGGAAAAATCTCTAGTAACTGTCAAGTGCAGCTAGAAAAAAATGAAAATATTTGACCTGTTTATAAGTTTATAAGTTTGCAAATAAAAATTCTAGTATACGTATAGTATAAATTAACTCTTGGTATATTTTGGTAGAAGCTAAAATTACGGAAGACTCACGAAATAACGTACGACACTACTAGAATCCTGAAGAAAAAAAGAAATCATACCCAAATTTAACGTAAGAATTACTACCTCAGGAAATTCTCGAACATATGGTGGATCATCTGTACTATCTGCTCCACAGAGAAATGCATTGATAATAGCATCACCTATTTCCGTTTCATATTTCCATGTCTCCTCGTCAACAAAACGATGGAATGCATCCGCAATATCTATAAAAATCACAAAAAATAACGAAGAAAAAATCATTTTACATCAAGAAGTATTATTTTTTAGTGCTTCCACGTAAGTGCTCGGAAAAATTAAAAGCCATATTATATGAATTCATTTATTTAACTAATTTAATTAAATCGAATACTTCCCTTAATCAAGTACGATTATGACACTTATAGTAATGATAATGACAAAATAATATGATAGCACGTTGAATAGTAATCTTTCTGATATGAAATTATAATTTCTGCTAATTTATTATCCATTTTGCCAAAATTTAGCGGAAAAAATGTCGAAATGTTTTTCACACTATCATAACATAACTTATTGCGAAAATGAAAAAGACAACTAAGAATTATATCCACAACAAAATAAATATGGATAGTTAATTGAATACTTCACTTAATTCGCTGAACTAAATTGTTGATTATGTTTGACTTCTAAACAAATAAAATTTAGAAAAGAAAAAAAGAAAAAAACTACAACCTTTGTAAAATAATGGTAGAACTTTATTTGTTACATAAATATGAGAGATTATCTCATCGATTGGATTTTCATCGGTTAGTGGAATTTGTGTATCATATGAAATTTTTTGCTCTAATGTTTTATATTTCGCTGTATATTCGAATCTTCTCGTTCGTTTTTTTCCAACGTTTTCCAACGTTTCATCAGAAATCATACTGTCCACCACAAATAACGATGAGAAGTTAACAAACATGTATAAATTATTATGAATGTTCAATTTGATCTGTGTATATTTAACACAGAACCTTTTACTACATGAAAATTTGCAGTTTCTTGAATTCATTAAGAATGCTGACAAATCTATTGACAAAGAAAAATCTTTTTTTTTCTTGAAATCTGCATATTGGATCATATCATCGTCATCCATTTTTTTTCTCGAGCTCAAAATAACGAACTTGTAAATATAATCCCATAGAATACATGAAAATTTCAATCACGGCGAAATAGCAGCAAATGATAATAAGAAGTTAGTAGCTAAAACGGAATGAAATTTATAAACTTTTACCAAAAGGAAAAATTCAAATTTTACCTGAACTGATAGTCCATCCAAATTTTCAAACGGTCCAATTTTTTATAAGTAACATTCGAGATAGAAAACGAAAATGTATGCCTCACTAGTCTTTATCGAATTTTCATTTATTCTTTACATCGTAAAAAAAGATAACGTTTAATTATAACTTACTATATTATATATATATATATATATATATATATATATATATATATATATATATATATATATATA